ATCCACAGGCATTCCAGTGTCCAGTTAACAGGTGATGCAGAGGAGAGGGGCCGGAGAAGCCATGTAAGAAGACACTCATAAAGATAGCCTGGTTTGTCAGGCTAATCAGTTTAAGGACACTGGAAGAGAAGCTTTCTGGGGCAAATGAGACCACCACAGACAGCATAGATAGCTTATCCATAAAGAACAAGAGACAGCTACACCAGAACCCACCAAACAGTCCTAAAAGTTAATAAGCCCCAGAATAGAAAGTATACTTATCACATAAACAGAAAAAATTAAGATAATACTTCTGTGTGTTTACATGGGAAAGTATATACAACATAAAACATTAAAAATACATTAAGCATTTTAATTCAGTGGAACTAAAGAAATAAAAGAAATATGCCAAATAGGCCGAACTAGTAATACATCTGACAAAGGTCTTGAGGTGTACCATGTTTAAATTATATGTAAAATGTTCATATAAATAGGTTGGAAACACACCATTGTTAACAAAAAAACAGACAAAAGAGAATGAGGTGATATGATGAGATTCAAAGGCCAGCATTGGTGAAAACTGTTTCATCTCCAGGGTGATCCAAGAAATGTAAATTAAACTTTAGTTATATGTCACCAAATAGTAAAAGGCTTTAAAAATAAGTTTACAACATTGAGGAATGATCTTTTCTTAGAGAATAGCTTTGGCACCATGTGCTAAAGATCTTAAAATAATGCTACAATAAAGTCATCTCATTTACAAGTATGAACTCTGATGAATTTTATTCAACCAATATTTTTACTGGATGTGCTGTTTCAGATACTTAAAGCTGAGGTAAATATTTGCATGTGGTTGGTAATAACTGTGGGCATGTGAGCAAATACTAACTGTCCAGTGAGAGAAGAGGTGAGTCATTTATTTCTAGAGGAGGAAAGATCCTCAGTGTGGTATTTAAGCCACCTTTTTTAAAAATTTATTTATTTTTATTTTATGTGCATTGGTGTTTTGTCTGCATGTATGTCTGTGTGAGGGTTCTCTGGAACTGGAGTTACAGACAGTTGTGAGCTGCCATGTGGGTGCTGTGAATTGAACCCAGGTCCTCTGGAAGAGCAGTCAGTGCTCTTAACCGATGAACCATCTCTCTAGCCCCTTAAGTCAACTTTTAAATGACCTCACTTTTTTCAGACTAACAAAATATTTGCCTATATATTTAAACTTGATTGTATATATCAAAATAATTTATAAAATCATTGTAGTGTGTGTGTGTGTGTGTGTGTGTGTGTGTGTGTGTGGTGTATGCCTGTGTGTGTGTGTGTTGTATGCCTGTGTGTGCACATGTGTGTGTGTGTGTGTGTGTGTGTGCGCGCGCCTGGGTGTGCACATATATGTGTGTGTGTGTGTGCATGCGCGTGGTGCATGCCTGGGTGTGCACATATGTGTGTGTGTTGTATGCCTGGGTGTGCACATATGTGTGTGTGTGTTGTATGCCTGGGTGTGTGTGTGTGTGTGTGTGTGTGTGTGTGTGTGTGTGTGTGTGTTGTATGCCTGGGTGTGCACATATGTGTGTATGTATATATGTGTGTGTGTGTGTGTGTGTGTGTGTGTGTGTGTGTACCTGGGTGTGCACATGTGTGTGTGTTGTGTGCCTGGGTGTGCACATATGTGTGTGCACTTGCTCCCATGTGCCTATGAAGAAGGTCAGAAGTACATCTCAAGTGCCTTTATCTCCATCTTGTTTTTTGAGGAAGAGTCTCTCACTGAACCAGAAGTGGATTCTTTAGGCTAGGCTAGTCTTCTGCCCACCTGTCTGTCTCTGCCCTTACTCCTCAGCTCTAGGGTCCCAAACATGTAGCACCATGTCTGACTTGTACGTGAATATTTGGGATCAGGACTCTGGTCCTTATGTTTGCACAGCAAGGACTTTACCCATGAAACAATCTCTCTAGCCCCATAGATAATATTTAAGACTAAACTTGGAGAAAAGTGGGAGATTATCACATGCAGCATGGACAATTGGTAGTAGTCAGCCTTCAAGACTGGTTTGAATTGACTTGGTGAGTGCTGTCAGCAGGAGAGGAAAGTAGGCTGCATCCTGAGCTTCCTTGTGGGAAGGCTAAGAGCACAAAGAGGCTTTCTGAGGGGGAAGCTGGCCTCAGGGTCTCACAATAGACTCTGCTGATGCCTCTGACATCTGGGAGATGAGATGAAACCTAGTCGGTGATAACTAGGACAGCTGTGTTACCATTGCTGTAAATGAAGACATTCACAGTTAGTCACAAAGGGGAAATGGTTCACTTGTCCTTTACAGTTGACTTTCAGGGCCTCAGGGGAAGATCCAACACAGAGAAGCCAAGTTGAAAGCATGAGTATTAAAGGGACTGTGACAGTGAGTTATACAAAAGGGAAAGACAGACCAGCACCAACCAATGCCAACAGCATGATAGGAAGAACGTTACCAAGAATGAGAGTTGAGCTTTGAGATAAGGTTGCACTCATACGGTGGGTGGTGTTTTGGGGGCAGGGTAGTCCAAAGAGAAAAAGGAAATTCAAGGAGAAAAAGGAAATCCAGAGAAGAGAGTTAGTGCCCTGGTGGTCACAGACTAGGAGGAAGGGGAGGTATTCCACAAACCACCCACAAGAATAAGGTGGAACCCCTAGAGCGCCATCTGGTGGGGGAGGCCAGTTTGTCACAGGAGACTCTTGAATGTAAACTTTCAAGTTTTGACACATTGTAGTACTGAAAGGAAGGTGAAAAGGAAACAGCTTTACCCATGAAAGAGACTGGTGACTGGTAATAAAGAAAATGGTGATAGTGTTTGCTTAACAGGCTGAAGTCCTGCAGTGAACACGACATGCAAAGGACTAGCTCAGGAAAGGAGTACCCTCTCCTGGGAGAAGAGCAGGAGGGAAAGGTTGCAACCAAAAGGAGACAGGGTCCTGTGGGCCGACGGGCTCATTTAATTCTGTCTCTAATAAAAGCGTTCCAAGTGTCTACAATAAAGTTCTAAGACCCGTGGGAAATAGTATGACACAGAGACGAAACTCTAAGTATACTGGGTGGAATACAACAGGACCAGATGGAACTTGAGACTGAGGACACAAGCTAATGGGTTTTCATATCTTCACCACATCACAGTCTTCATAAAGTGTTCCCAACCAACTCCACGGAATAGCTGCGAGGTGGAGGGGTAGGATATGAAACTTTTTAAAAGTCCCAGCCAACCAAGGTCAAGGTGATAAACTCCTAAAGAGAGCTAGAGGAGATGAGAAGAGATAGTATTTTGTTGAGAAAGAAGGAAGATGAGGGTCAAGTTCATCTAGTCAGAAAAGGGGAGAATAGAAGAACTAAGAAGGATTTGGGAGAGAGATTGTGAAAGTAGAGAAATAGTTTGTAACAGCACAAAGTAAAAACTAGGGAAGATCTCAAGACAGATACAAAACAAGTACCCAGTTTAGAAATGTGGCTAGTTTAGAAACCATTTTCAGTATCCCATGCTTTGCACCTCCCGTTTCCCAGTACCCTCACAGAAATGTTTGACCTGATGGAGAAATGAACCTTAGGATGAAATAGTGTCTCCCCTCCTGACTCCCTCAATGTTCTCCTTTTCTTTCTTATCTAGAATAGATGAAACGGTCCATCATTACTATTTCTTATATAAAATAGATGAAATGGTTCATCGTTACTATTTCTTATATAGAGTAGATGAAATGGTCCATCATTACTATTTCTTATATAGGATAGATGAAATGGTCCATCATTACTATTTCTTATATAGGATAGATGAAACGGTCCATCGTTACTATTTTTACATAAAATAGATGAAACGGTCCATCATTACTATTTCTTATACAGAGTAGATGAAACAGTCCATCATTACTATTTCTTATATAGAATAGATTAAATGGTCCATCGTTACTATTTCTTATATAGAGTAGATGAAACGGTCCATCAATACTCTGTGCCTCCTCTTCTGTCCAACCACCAACACTCTCTGGACCTTCTCTCTGATACAGAGCCACAGAGACACTCTGGCCTGATTGAACACTACCATTTCCGTTTCTCATACATTTGGACAGCTCTTACTCATATCTCTGTCACCCTGTATTGGTCTGTGCAAAACATTTATGTGACCATAAAATCACACATTGTGAGTTCAGGAAATTCATGACCCATATTTACTTTTTTCTTAACAATCTCCTCAAATTCTAATTACCTAGATTTTTAAAATATTTGGTTCATTTCTAATCACTCTTTTCCTTCTGATCCAATTATTCATGCTTCTTTGACTTTAGTGTTTCTCTCCCCCAACTATGGTAAGTAATACAGATCACCGTGCTAGATGAATGGTCACAGTGAGCTGTTCTGATGGGCATTAGGCAGCATCTGGGTTCAGAGCAGATTAGCAACTGCAGATCCCTCCTTAGGCTCCCACCCACAAGCATCTCTCTTTCACAGAGATAGTCTGTGAACTTTGGACACTGACTTTGAACCTAAATTTCTTTGTCTCATCTCAGTCTTACATAGATGGAATCACGGAATAGGTGTCTCCTTGAATTAGAAAACCCTGATATCATCTTTATAAAACTGGTTCCTGTATGGAAGCATTCATCTTCCTCACTTGGTGGTCTTCTGTCGTACAAACTTAGAGCAATGCACCTCTTCACTGCACTGTTGATGGGCGTTTGCTTTTGCAGAATGTGCTCATCAGAAACAGTATTGTCAGCACTCTTGTATGTGGCTCTCAGTGCCTAGACACAAGCGTTTTCAGGGCATGATTGGATCACAGCACATGCATGTGCTCAGTTCTCAAAACACTGTCACAAAGATTTCTAAACTGTTATTTATGTATCACATTCCCTTGGGTGAGGAACAAGAATCGCCCATGCTCCATTCCACAGCCACACCTTCATTTGTAATGACAGTATGCTAAGGACCATCTTCTGAAATCACTATACAATTGAATGTTTCATTTCTATTTCCCTGAGCTTTTGCTTAACATTTCAAACTTTATTCTTTCAGATTTTGTTTTAGTCACTTCCCTGAAGACAAGATTCCACTACAGCCTCGTCTGTGCAATCCAACAGACAACAAGAAGAAAGACCCAGGTCCCAGCAGAGGACCACGGCAGAGCCTGAGGCCCTTCAGTGCCCGGACTGAGCTAATGCCAGAGTGCCGACTCTTAGTCAGTCAGCAAACCTGGGAAGGCTGTTCCTATCACATTCATAGAAACTGACAGGTAGATCCTGCTACATCACACCCACAGCAATTCATTTATTTAAAAAAAATCAATATCTATCAAATATCTACAATCCTGTGTAGATATTGGAGTTTAGTATTTAAATTGAAGCTATGAAGTCTAAGACCAACTGTGCTCAGAATCCAAACTGCAGCATAATGATATTTCGTCCAACCAAAGAAGAGTTTAATGATTTTGACAAGTACATTGCCTACATGGAGTCCCAAGGGGCACACCGAGCTGGACTGGCCAAGGTCATCCCACCAAAAGAATGGAGAGCCAGGCAATCTTATGACAATATCAGCAACATCTTAATAGCCACTCCCCTGCAGCAAGTGGTGTCTGGCCAGGCAGGTGTGTTCACTCAATACCATAAGAAGAAGAAAGCCATGACGGTGGGACAATACCGTCACCTGGCCAACAGTAAAAAATACCGGACCCCGCCACACCTGAATTTTGAAGATTTGGAGAGAAAATACTGGAAGAATCGTCTCTATGAGTCACCAATTTATGGTGCAGACGTCAGCGGCTCCTTGTTTGATGGGAAAACTCAGCACTGGAACGTGGGACACCTGGGAACAATTCAGGACCTATTGGAACAAGAATGCGGCATTGTGATTGAGGGTGTCAACACGCCCTACCTGTACTTTGGCATGTGGAAGACCACCTTTGCGTGGCACACGGAGGACATGGACCTGTACAGCATCAACTACCTGCACTTTGGGCAGCCCAAGACGTGGTATGCGGTGCCCCCCGAGCATGGCCGACGCCTGGAGCACCTGGCCAGGCAGCTGTTCCCGGGCAGTTCCCAGGGCTGCCAGGCCTTCCTGAGGCACAAGGTGGCACTCATCTCACCCACTGTGCTCAAGGAGAATGGTATCCCCTTTGGCCGCATGACGCAGGAGGCTGGGGAGTTCATGGTCACCTTTCCCTATGGCTACCACGCTGGCTTCAACCATGGCTTCAACTGTGCAGAGGCCATCAATTTTGCGACCCCGAGGTGGATCGACTATGGCAAGGTGGCTTCTCAGTGTAGCTGTGGGGAGGCCAGGGTGAGCTTCTCCATGGACGCCTTTGTTCGGATCCTGCAGCCTGAGCGATATGAGCTGTGGAAACGTGGCCAAGATCAGGCAGTTGTGGATCACACAGAGACTATGGGGTCTACCAGCCAGGAGCTTACCACCTGGCGGGTGATCCAATCACCGAGAAAAACTCGAGGACTGAGGCATTTCCGGTTTCGCCAGGGCTCACACTCTCTTCTGCCTATAGCGACTGGCAGTAAGATTCCTTGCAGCTACAGGCAACCATCAGATGCCAAAGTTGGTGAGGTCCAGGAGCCTGATCCGGCCCCAGCCACACCACCTACTCTGGGTCTATCTTCTGGTCACGACCTGTCAACTGGAAGACGTAGTCTTGGTCGTCGTCCTTGTGAACAGGGAGCTCAGGAGTCCACCAGTGAGGCTCCAGTCAAGAGGCGCCAGCCAGCAGGAGGAGCAGACACAAGTCTGAACCCAGAGCTTCCATCCCAGTCTGTGAGTGAGGACTTGATAGTCAACCCTGTACCTTCGAACCCTGGCCCACAGCATCCTGTGACAGTTTCTGAAGGTGGATTGACCTGTGACCCCTAAACGTATGTCCTGCCTTCCAGCTCATTGCCTGCACTCAGGAAGCTTGCTAAGGTCATTGCCTCAGAGTTTTGACTGAGTTTGCAGGACACTGGCCACACCTGAGAGAGCTCCTTGTCAGTTCTAAGTGCTAAACTCGCATGCACTTTCCTCTTTGCAGAACGTGGCAAGCCTCTGGATACTGGTAACTCCCGGGCTTCCAGCTGAGGTTTGATTGGCCGGTCATTTTGGGTTTCAGAGAGCTAGGTGCAGCTGAGGTTGCTTAAAACTGACCTCCCATCCTCTAGGCCAACTGTAGAGAAAGATGAAAATTCAAGTTTCCCCCCCTTCCATTTCTTGCAAAATGTCAAACTTTTGACCATTAGATTAGTAGTCACAAAAAAGTAGTCACACAAAGTCAAAAGTCATTTGAGAGTCACAGATGACCTCTCAAACTTGGTATATTAAGAATGTATCTTACCCAGTGTTTCCAAATAAAGGCAAAGCAGACAAAGTGTTGAAATTAGACTTTATTTCTAATATTGTAATTTCCGACAGTGGGATCTTTGGGACAATGACACTTTCTCTGTTTCGTGTCTAACCTAGAAGAATAAGTTATTCTGCAGTGAACATTTTCTATTTGTTTCTCCCATAGCACACTTTCCATTTACACCTAAGCCTATCCACGTTTTCTTACACTGGTTTGTGAGTGTGTGTTGTATGTCTGGGAGTGTATGAGCCAGGGTGAAAATGTGGAGGTCAGAAGATATCTGCTGGAGTTGGTTCTCCCCATGTCCCATGTGGCCATAGGGATCCCACTCAGATGAAAAGACTTGGTGGCAATCATCTTTGCCCACTTAGCCATCTCATTGGCCCAATGCCATCTCATTTCATTGTGAGGCAAATTCACGTGGCCATCATGATCACCACCCCATGAGTTCTTCTTCCCTCTATGCCTGGACACAAATGAGCTTCCTTCTATTCCCAGAAGAACAATCTCCAAGCCAGTGAAAGGGTCAAACAACCTTTTCAGAGGGGTCACATATCAGATATACTGCAAATTAGATATTTCTATTATGATTCATAACAATAGCATTTGTTATACTTATGAAGTAGCAAAGAAAATAATTTTATGGTTAGGGGTCACCACAACATGAAGAACTGTATTAAGGGATCGTCACAGTATGAGGAAGGTTGAGAACCATTGCTCCAAGGTCCATGTCAGTCTCTGGCCCTTGCTGGTTCTGCAGATAGAATATGGTGCCCTCACCCTGTTCTATTCTACAGCTGGGCCTCAGAAAGGATCCCTGTGCTGTGCAGTCTTCCAGGGTGACATGGTCCAGCCTTGCCCTCATTCACATGTCTGATATTGTCTATGGAAGGTCAACAAGATGGAGCAGCAGCTAAAAGCAATTGCTCACAAGCCTGAAGATCTATCAATCCATAGAAACACTGGTGGAAGGGAGAGCCAACTCCCCAAAGTGACAGCCATCCAAAACACACACCCATGCCCACATTCACACACACTCAGACACATACACACACACTCACACACACACTCAGACACATACACATACCTACACAAACACACCTACACATATAACACACACATGCAACAAACACACTGAGACACACACACTCAGACACACACACACATACCTGCACAAACACATCTACACATATAACACACACATGCAACGAATATACTCAGACACACACACTCAGACATATACACATACCTACACAAACATACCTACACATATAACACACACGTGCAACACACACACTCAGACACACATACACCTACACACACACACTGAGACACACACATATGCAACACACACAGACACACACTGAGACACACATGTAACACACACATACTTAGACACACACCTACACACACACACAAATAATGAATGCAACAAAAAATCACTAGATCCAGGTTTTGTTTCTTTGTTTACTTCTTTATTTGAGTGTTGTTTGGTATGATTTTGCTTATATTTACATGTACTAGAAGAAAACATTTCAGAAACGTATATAGTCATAACATAATTCTCATATATTTATTTTAATGATGTATATGGTGTGGGTATGTGCCTGTGAATGTGCCTTGGGAGATGGATTTACAGTCCATTGTGATTGGTTTGTTTATTTCTAAAGACAGGGTTTCTCTGTGTAAGTGCTCTGGGTGTCCTAGAACTCTCTCTGTAGACCAAGCTTCATGATGGCCTTGAAACCTGAGATCTGTGCAAACCACACCTAGCAGTGTGTGTGTGTGTGTGTGTGTGTGTGTGTGTGTGTGTGTGTGTGTGTGTGTGTTCATTGTGGAATTTCTATCATGGGTGCTGGGATTCATGGAATTCCAATTTGTGTTCTCCGAAAGATTAGTTAGTAAGCAGCTGGCCTGCAGGTAAGAGTCCTGCAGGCAGGCTGCTCCACCACCGCCGCTATCCATTGGACTCTAGAACCTACAAGACCCACTCTAAGGGACAAACCCACCAAGCCCATCCTCCTCCCCCTGGCCAACCATCTCCCACAACATCAACAGCCTCTAGAAGCACAAGCTCCACCCACACCAATTGGAAGAACAGCCGCCCCTACAGGCATAAGTACCACCTACAGCGGTTGGAAGAACAGACCCACTCTGCTGCCCAATCTCACCTACTTCAGCAGCCTCCCCATGAACAGCCCTCTCCAGCAACATCAGCAGACCATATAGGCACCAGTGACAACCACACCAGGTGGAAGAACAGGCACAGGCACAACCCACACCAGTTGGAAGAACAGAGCCCATAGGCACAAGTAAAGCCCACACCACCCAGAAGAACTGGAGGATACACTGCATTTAGGCACCCAAACCCCCACAAACTTTAGCTGAAACAACTCTACTAGACCTGACAACCAGCCCATTACCAGAACCCTTGGCCATTCAGGTCAAAAGACAATAAAGGAAACAAACAATAAAGGAACAAAAGACCCATCTAACAAAGAGATCACAAGAATCAACACCTGTTCCTATAATTATCCAAAACTCAGATGGGTAAATGGCAGTATAAGAATACATTCAAAGAGCTGGAGAGATGGCTCAGAGGTTAAAAGCACCGACTGCTCTTCCAGAGGTCCTGAGTTCAATTCCCAGCACCCACATGGTAGCTCACAACCATCTGTAATGAGATCTGGTGTCCTCTTCTGTGTACATAATAAATCTTTTTAAAAAAAGAATACATTCAATAACATAAAGAGCAATACAGCACCACCAGAACCTAGCGGTTCTACAAGAGCAAGACCTGAACATCCTAATGCAGATGAAGCAGAAGAAAACAACCTTAAAAATAACTTTATGAAGACGACGGAGGCCCTTAAAGAGGAAATGGAAAATACCCTTAAAGAAATTAAGGAAAAGACAAACAAAAAATTAGAAGAAATCAATAAATCGCTTAAAGAAAGCCAAGAAAAAACAAACAGCTAAAGGAAACAGTTCAAGACATGAAAATTGAAATAAATGCAATAAAGAAAACACAAACCAAGGGAATTCTGGAAATGGAAATTTTGGGTAAACAAACAGGAACTACGGATGCAAGCATAACCAACAGGATACAAGAGATAGAAGGGAGAATCTTAGATGTTGAAGATACAACAGAGGAAATAGATTCATCGGTCAAAGAAAATGTTAAGTCCAACAAATTCTTAACATAAAACATCCAGGAAATCTGGGACACCATGAAAAGACAAAACCTAATAATAATAGGGACAGAAGAAGGAAAAGAATTCCAGCTCAAAGGCATAGAAAATATATTCAACAAAATCATAGAAGAAAACTTTTTCAACCCAAAGAAGGAAATGCCTATAAAGGCATAAGAAACTTACAGAACACCAAATAAACTGAACAAAAAAAGTCCCCATACCACATAATAATCAAAACACTAAACATACAGAATAAAGAAAGAATATTAAGAGCTGCAAAGGAAAAAGGCCAAGTAACATATAAAGGCAGACCTATCAGAATTACGTCTGACTTCTCAATGGTGACTCTGAAAGTCAGAAGGTCCTGGAAAGACCTTTGGCAGACACTAAGAGACCATGGATGCCAGCACAGACTACAGACCAGCAAAGCTTTCAATCACCATAGACAAAGAAAACAAGACATTCTATGACAAAACCAGATTTAAACACTATATAGCCACAAACCCAGCCCTACAGAAAGCACTAGAAGGAAAAACCCAACCTAAGAAAGTTAGATGTACCCATGAAAACACAGGCAATAGATATTCTCATACCAGCAAGTGCTAAAGAAGGGAAATACACACACACTACCATGACCATCACCAATCCCCCCCCCAAAAAAAACAGGAATTAACAATCACTAGTCATTAATATCTCTTAATATCAATAGACTCAATTCACCTATAAAAAGACACAGGCTAACAGAATGGATATGAAAACAGGGTCCATCCTTGTGCTGCATACAAGAAACACACCTCAACTTCAAAGACAGACACTACCTTATAGTAAAGGGTTGGGAAAAGATTTTCCAATCAAATGGACCTAAGAAGCAAGCCGGTGTAGCTATCCTAATATCTAACAAAATAGACTTCAAACTAAAATTACTCAAAAGAGATGGAGAAGGACATTTCATATTCATCAAAGGAAAAATCCATCAACACGAAATCTCAATTCTGAGCATCTATGCCCCAAATATAAGGGCACCACATTTGTAAAAGAAACATTACTGAAGTTTAAATCACACAGCAAACCCCACACACTAATAATGGGAGACTTCAACACCCCACTCACACCAATGGACAGGTCTGCCAGACAGAAATGTAACAGAGAAATAAGGGAACTAACAGATGTTATAACTCAAATGGACTTAACAGATATCTACAGAACATTCCACCCAAACACTTCGTGGAATCTTCTCTAAAATCAGCCACATACTCGGTCACAAAACAAATCCCAACAGATAAAAAAAAATTGGAATAACCCCCTGTATTTTATCTGACCACCATGGCTTAGAGTTAGAATTCAACAACAACACAAACTGCAGAAAGCCTACAAACTCATGGAAATTGAACAACTCTCAACTGAATCACCACTGGGTCAAGGAAGAAATAAAGAAATTAAAGACTTCCCAGAATTCAATGAAAATGAATCCACAATACACCCAAACTTATGGGACACTATGAAAGCAGTGCTAAGAGGAAATTTCATAGCACTAAATGCCCACATAAAGAAGTTGGAGAAATTTCACACTAGCTACTTAACAGCACACCTGAAGGCTCTAGATCAAAAAGAAGCAAACTCACCAAGGAGAAATAGACATCAGGAAATAATCAAATTGAGGGCTGAAATCAATAAAATAGAAACTGAGAACAATACAAAGAATCAATGAAACAAAGAGTTGGTTCTTTGAGAAAATCAGAAAGGCAGACAAACCCTTATCCAAACTAATCAAAAGCCAGAGAGAGAACATCCAAATTAACAAAATCAGAAATGAAAAGGGAGATATAACAACAGACAATGAGGAAATCCAGAGAATCATCAGGTCATACTTCAAAAACCTGTACTCCACAAAACTGGAAAATCTAAAAGAAATGGACAATTTTCTGGATGGGTACCACATGCCAAAATTAATTTAAGACCAGATAAACAATTTTAATAGATCTATAACCCCTAAGAAAATAGAAGCAGTGATCAAAAGTTTCCCAATAAAAAAAGCTCAGGGTTAGATGGTTTCAGAGCAGAATTCTACCAGAATTTCCAAGAAGAGCTAATACCAATACTCCTCAAGTTGTTTCACACAATAGGAACAGAAGGAACATTGCCAAATTCTTTTTTTATGAGGCTTCAGTTACCCTAATACACAAAACACACAAATATGAAACAAAGAAAAAGAATTACAGACTAATCTCCATCATGAACATTGAAGCAAAATACTCAATAAGTCCAAGGTGATTCCCTCTCCAAGGGGCTGACTAGTGCCCTTTTCAGGAACGTAGCAACTTGAAAGAAAACTTAGCATGCCTGAGGTCTCTGGGGAACAAGGGATGCTTGTTGCCTTTGCCTGTCTTTGGCTGCCTACATGTAAAAAAAAATACTCAATAAAATACTGGCAAACTGAATCCAAGAACACATCAAAAAAACCATCCACCGTGACCAAGTAGGCTTCATCCCAGATGCAGCGATGGTTCAACATATGAAAATCATCTGTCAATGTAATCCACCATATAAACAAACTGAAAGGAAAAAAAAACACATGATCATCTCATTAGATGCTGAAAAAGCCTTTGACAAAATCCAACACCCCTTCATGATAAAGGTCCTGGAGAGATCAGGAATACAAGGAACACACCTAAACATAATAAAGGCAATTTACAGCTAGCCAACAGCCAATATCAAATTGCATGGAGAGAAACTCAAAGTGATTCCACTAAAATCAGGAATAAAACAAGGCTGTCCACTCTCTCCATATCTATTCAATGTAGTACTTGAAATTCTAGCTAGAGCAATAAGGCAATAAAAGGAGATCAAGGTGATACAAATTGGAAAGGAAGAAGTCAAACTTTCGGTATTTGAAGAGTATATGCTAGTGTACATAAGTGACCCCAAAAATCTACCAGAGAACTCCCACAGCCGATAAACACCTTCAGTAATGTGGCTGGATACAAGATTAACTAAAAAAAAGTCAGTAGCCCTCCTATATACAAATGATAAATGTGCTGAGAAAGAAATCAGAGAAACAATGCCCTTTACAATAGCCATAAATAATATAAAATATCTTCGAGTAACTCTAATCAAACAAATGAAAGAACTGTATGACAAGAACTTTAAGTCTCTGAAGAAAGAAATTGAAGATGTCAGAAAACAGAAAGAGCTCCCATGCTCATGGATAGATAGGATTAATACAGTAAAAATGGCAATCTTATCAAAAGCAATCTACAGATTCAATGCAATCCCCATCAGAATCCCAACACGATTCTTCACAGATCTCAAAAGATCAATACTCAACTTCATATGGAAAAACAAAAAACCCAGTACAGCTAAAACAATCCTGTATAATAAAGCAACTTCTGGAGGTATCACCATCCCTGACTTCAAGCTCTACTATAGAGCTATAGTAATAAAAACAGCTTGGTACTGGCATAAAAAAAGATAGATGGATCAATGGAATCGAATCAAAGACCCTGAAGTAAATCTACACACCTATGAACACATGATTTTTGACAAAGAAGCCAAATATATACAACGGAAACAAGAAAGCATCTTCAACAAATGGTGCTGACATAACCGGATGTTGGCATGTAGAAGATGCAAATAGATCCACATCTATCACCCTGCACAAAACTCAAGTCTATGGTGATATTTTATTTGTATTAAAATGTTATTTGTATGTTAATAAATAAAGTTGCCTGGGGGTCAGAGCTATTAGCAAGCCATAGGAAAGCAGGGCTGTGGTGGTGTATACGCTTGTAATCCCAGCACTTGGTAGGCAGAGCTAGGTAAGTCTCTGTGTGTTCAGGGATACAGCCAGTATTGGATACACATGCCTTTAATTTCAATACCAATCATAGAAAACCTGGAGGCCTATACAGACAGGCCGTGACGAGGCAGTCATGTGGTTGGGTTTACAACCAATGAGAAGGCAGAACAGGAACTCTATATAAAGACTTTAACACAGGGGTAGCTCTGGTTTGGAGAGGTAGGACCACCGCAGGAGGAAGGGTAAGGTTTTAGCTCTTAGCTCTGACCTCTTGGCTTTCTTCTTTGCATTGGTTCTGTGTTTCTTATTTAATAAGAAGGTTGGTTACATCTACACAAGTCCAAGTAGATCAAAAACCTCAACATAAATCCAGTTACACTGAACCTGATAGAATAGAAAATAGGACGTAGCCTTGAATGCATTGGCACAGGAGACTACTTCCTGAATATAACACCAGTAGCACAGAAACTGAGACAGACAATTATTAAATGGGACCTCCAGAATCGGGAAAGCTTCTATAAGGCAAAGGACACTGTCAATAAGACAAAATGGCAGCCTACAAAAAGGGAAAAGATCTTCAACAATCCTATATATGATGGAGGACTAATCTCCAAAATACACAAAAAACTCAAGAAACTTGGTGTTGAGGATTTAGCTCAGTGGTAGAGCACTTGCCTAGCAAGCACAAGGCCCTGGGTTCGGTCCTCAGCTCCAGAAAAAAGAAGAAGAAGAAGAAGAAGAAGAAGAAGAAGAAGAAGAAGAAGAAGAAGAAGAAGAAGAAGAAGAAGAAGAAGAAGAAGAAGAAGAAGAAGAAGAAGAAGAAACTAGACAGCAAAATGCCAAATAATCCAATTAAAAATGAGGTACAGGTTTAAACAGAGAATTCTCAACAAAAGAATCTCAAATGACCAAGATACACTTAAAGAATTGTTCAAAATCCTTAGCTATCAGGGAAATGCAAATCAAATCAATGCTGAGATACCATCTTACATCTGTCAGAATGGCTAAGATCAAAAAAACGCTAATTACAGTCAATGTTGGAGAGGATGTGGAGTTAAGGGGAACACTTCTCCACTGCTGGTGGGACTGCAAAAATGTATAGCCACTTTGGAAATCAGTATGGCGGTTTTTCAGAAAATTGGTAATCAATCTTCCTCAAGACCCAATGTTACCACCCTTGGGCATATACCCAAAGAATGCTCAACCATACCTCAAAGACATTTGCTCAACTATGGTCATTGCAGCATAATTTGTAATAGCCTGAACCTGGAAACAACCTAGATGCTCCTCAAGTGAAGAATGAATGAAGAAAATGTGGTACATTTACACAACGGATTACTCAGCAGTAAAAAACAATGACATCATGAAATTTGCAGGCAAATGGATGGAACTAGAAAAAAAGCATCCTGAGTGAGGTAACACAGACCCAGAAAGACAAAAACAGTATGGACTTACTAACAAGTGGATATTAGATATAAAGCAAAGAATAGCCAGGCTACAATCCGTAGCCCCATAGAAGCTAGGTAACAAGGAGGATGGTAAGAGGTAGACATGGTCGAGTTGGGGGAGGAACGCAGAAGGAGAGTAATGAAAGAGATACTTTGATAGAGGGGGCCATTTTGGGGTTAGGAAGAAACCTGATGCTAGGGAAACTCCCAGAAATCCACAAGGATGACCCCCTTCTAAGGCTCTTAGCAATAGTGGAGAGGGTGCTTGAATGGCCTTCTCCTGTAATCAGATTGATAACTATTCTAATTGCTATCAGAGACCCTTCATCCAGTAACTAATGGAAGCAGAAGAAGAGATACACACCCAACCACAGTGCGGAGTTCCTGGAGAAGAGTTGAAGAGAGGGAGGAGGATTTATAAGAGCAATTAATTAGGGGTCAAGGTCGTGACAGGGAAAACCACAGAGAGAGCTGACCTGAGCAAATGGGAGCTCCCCAACTCTAGACCAACAGCTAGAGAACCTGCATGGGACCGACCTAGACTCTCGGCATGAGGGTGACAGTTGTGTAGCTTGGTCTGTTTGTGGGGACCCTAGCAGTGGGATCAAGACCTGTCCTGGGCACATTAGCTGGCTTTTTAAACCTATTCCCTATGGTGAGATGCCTTGCTCAGCCTTGATGCTGGGGGAGGAGCTTGGTCCTGCCTCAATGTGATATGCCATGCTTTGTTGATTCCTGTGGGAGGCCTGACCCATTCTGAAGAGTGGATGAGGGGTAGAAAGGAGGTGGGGGAGGGAATGGGAGGAGAGAAGGGAGGGAAAACTGTGGTTGGTATGTAAAATTTAAAAAATGAATAAAAATAGATTAGTTAGTAAATGCTCTTCAATGTTGGGCAGATCTCCAGACCAAAACTTCTAATTTCAAAACCTGCTCCAATATTTCAGTTCATAGCTTTGCATGCACACATTAAGGCAAGTTTATTAAAGAACAGTCATTACAAATCCTCCCTGAGTCACAACTGGCTCGGCACATGAAAAATTCCACTATTTGATGGGGAGTAACGTCCAGGGTCGTGAGGTGGGCCAGGGACACGTGGAGCACTGGACTTAGCTCCTGGGCTCACTCAAGGAGTGTGGCATGGTCTCAAGGAAGACAGGGTGACTGACTCAAAGGCCCCCATGGAAATTGGGAATGAACCCGGTACAGATCTCAACATCAACCAATGTTGGCCCAAGTGAGAGTGGGAGCTGGCCACCAGCACCTCAGGAGAGGTGTCCCAGGGGCCACATGAAAAGGAGGTGAACACGGCACCAGGCCTTGCTTGCAGGTCACAGACTTACAAGAAGTAGTATACCTCCTGTGACATCCAGTGCTGGGGAGGTCAACACCAGTGTTCACAGGGAGACCAATTGTCACAGCAGGAGAAATTATCAGGATGTTTAGATCCGAGTCTGCTGTGTGCACCCAAGCTGTCCCCAAACGCAGGACAGGCACAGAGGCCTGGTGTCCCAGTGCGGCTGGTTCAGTGTGAAAACATGGAGGCACACTTCCCACTCCCTGGCCTGGGAAGCTAAGGCTTCCCCTCCCCTGCAGCATGGAGCTTGCCTTTGGGGCACCATCAAGCTTCTGGTCATAGAAACTGACCTAATAAACACCCTTACAACTCGACACCCAGTTTCTTGTTCTGGTACTCCAGAGAGGCCTCCTGATGGCTGATTTCTCCTTTTCATTCTGACAGAGTCTCAGGTATCCCAAGCTGGCCTCAAATTGGCTACATGAGCCAAAGCCTTAACCTTGGACTCTGGCTTCTACCCCCCCCCACCCCCCAGCTTGGATGGCAGGAAAGCAGCACCACACCCCATTTACGCAGTTCTAGGGTTCAAAGCCAAGCACTGTGCCGACTGACAACATCCCCAGACCATGCTGCAGGTTGTTTCACGTCAGTGTTTGCGAACATCTTTATTTCCCGTCCATGCCAATCCATCCAGCTTCCTATTCAAACCTGCTTATCTTTTTATTCAGCTCAACAAGATCCTCTTCTTCTTTCTGTCTTTTCTATTACCTTAAACTATTTTACACTTTCTGCTGACTACATGATAACTGATTCATTAAAATAATTTCCAGTATTGCCTTACTGTTGTCTTGTTTCTGATTGTTTCAAAACAAAATGGGTAATGGTTGTTTTTCAGTTGTGGGAGGAAATCCACCAGAAAAGACGGCTGGGACGTGGGATGAAGGCAACAGAAAGTCTTTATTGGCCAGCCGGCAACTACACTGGGTGATCAGGATCCCAGTATAGTCAGGAGCTTTCTCAGGGTCAGCTTTTAAGCTCAAAGACCGTGTTATGGCTGGACAAACTTCAGTTAACAAGAGCAGTTTGCCGAGCATAACTACAGAAAGCAAAATGCAAGGTTAGTGTATTTAGAGCCTGTCCCAGAACTATGGACTGTGGTGGATTAGGTCTTTGTCTTCATTTGGATAGGTGGTGCTGTCTACACCCTGACTGGTGCTTCCATCATGGAGTCAGTTGTGCTAAGGTCTGGGGGCCTGTCATATCCCCCACTGGATTTAGTGAATGAGAGTCAAGTCATGGACTCACTGTGCTCTGAAGAGGTGTAGTTGGTCCTAAGCACCATTCATTGTGCTAAACTATTGTATAATTCTCCATATAGTTTAGGAGGCAGGGCTCCGACCTTTATCCACTCAAAATGAGGATTAGAGGCCCAGTTGGTGCTAATAGCTGAGTGGTTAGCCAGGAATAAGAGAGCAGAGACTGCTATCAATGATCTGATTTAACTCTTTGTCTCCTTTTCTCTTTGAGGTTTATATTTCCCCAACAATTTACAGGTGTTTTCTAAGTATTGCTGATCAATTAGCAGAGAAACAATAGGTTTCTCCCACAGCCACACATAGTCCCCTTACCTCAGAGGCAGTGAGTCTAAGCCTCTCCAATGATGTCGGAGCACTTTGGCAAGGGAATCTAACTGTTGTTTTAATACAGACGCAGAAACTTCTAATACCTCTAGGTCCGGATCAACCTGTCTACTCAGTTTGGAAAGCATCAGCAGAGGGCACACTTAGTCAAACCTTGTGTCTGCCATGCAAGTGGTCTCAGAGGCCTGGTAATATTGCCATTGTCCAGATGAGTTAAGGTACCAAGCAGATCAGCAGACACCTGCTCATAAGGGGAAATGCCTAGATTAAGGGTGTTGGATATTAGACAAGTTTCAGCCCCTTGAAGTTCTCTAACCTTAATTTGGGCTGTCCTCGGTCACAGTGAGATTTGTCAGTCAAAGTGGTGACCTTCGGGTTCATTCTCATCCCTAGGTAGTACGGGAACCTGGGAGTCTGAGCATCCCCAGCCATCCTGGCCAGTGGTTTCTAGAGAACACATTATTTTGCTGCAATGCTACAATATCTTCAGGAAGGTTTATGCTCAAAGCCTGAAGAAAAGATAGAAAAATGTAGTCATTTTTGAATGATTCAACTCAATGGGAATACTGAGATGAAATTAAGCCATACAAATTTGGGCTGGCAATGTTAATATCAGAATTCAAAGCCAAATCAAAATACACATCAATTTGAAGCAGACATTTGAACCCCAGGTGTGAAAAGCATACTTTAGAATAATTGAATTTTAGCTGGGCGTGGTAGCACACACCTTTAATCCCCGCACTCCACAGGCAGAGGCAGGCTGATCTCTGTGAGGACTAGGCCAAACTGATCTACAGAGAGAGTTCCAGCACAGAGAAACCATGTCTTGATCAGGAGTTTAAGGTCTCTCTTGGTTCCATATTGAATTCACCTTCAGCACCGTTACATGAGAAATGTCTAGTCATTCAACTTGAGGAACTAGGTGAATTGATATCTACGTAAAATTAAAAACAAAAACCAAACATAAAGGAGTAAAATGAAAGAGTCACGACAGAACCCTCACAGAAACAGGGCAAGCAGGGAGAGGAAAACCCTTCCTTAGGAAAGATCTTAGAAGTGAAAGTCACAGTTAGGGCAAGAGCATGTACAGACATCAAAGTCCGGACAGCTACAATGTATAAACATCTCTATAGCTTCGGGCCAGACATAGGAACCACTAGTAATTCTCCAGAAGTACAGATATCCAAAACTGACCTAGTAGGGAAACCAAGTGGTCTACTCATATGAATTTCTTTGTCTTTTTTGTTTTGTTTTGTTTTTGTTTGGTTGGTTGGTTGGTTTTTTTTTGTTTTGTCTTTTTTTTTTTTTTTTTTAAAGACAGGGTGTTTCTGTGTAACATCCCTGACTGTCCTGGAATTCATTTTTCAGAGCAGGCTGGCCTGGAACTCACAGAGATCTGCCCACCTCTGCCTTCCGAGAGCTGGGATTAAAGGCGTGAGCCACCACTTCCCCCCCCTAAAATCTTCTTAGTGGTTCTATGGACAGTTGGCATATAGCATATTGCTGTGATGTATAACTTTCTTTGTTTAGTGTATTTCTGGTTTGCCTTTTCTCGAATTGGGGTGGTTTACTCTCAAATGAGGTTGGGCGGGGCTAACGGAGGGGTGTGGCCAGTGATAGGCGTGACTAAAGTGGGTGGGTCAGCACTGATGACAGTATTCACCTTTGTGGCTATAAAAGACCCAGAACTGAGGCTCCAGCACCACAGGGAGTGAAGTCTCACAGGAGAAAGCTTCTCTGGTGCTGCACTGTCTTCAGCCAGGTCTCCATGCTGTTGGAGTAAGGTAAGTTATCTGTAACTCTCTTCAACAACTCTGGGATGCTTGTCCTGCTGAGAAAATGACGAGGATCACAGGTCCATAAGCGTCAAGCACTCTCCTGGGCGTCAGGACTGGCTGGTCAACCTCCAGCTTTAGGGTGTCAGCTTTATCTGTGTTTCATTTGTGTTCAGTCCTGTCGGCATTTAAGTATGATTATTGTGGGGCAACGTTAATCCAGGCTATCCCCAGTCACAGTGAGTTTTGTCACTCGAGGGGTTGACTGTCCAGTTAGTTCTTATCCCTATGTAATATGGGTGGTCGAGGGGGTCTGAGCATGACCAGGCACCCTGGCCGATTTCTGGCTGGGAATGATTGATATTGTCCCCAGGGTCCTCCCCGGTGGTATAGAGTCTGATTCCCTAGGTGTTCCCTGTTTCCCAAAGGCCAGAATCTATCTTACAGAATTTCCAGATTTTTAGTTTTTAAATTTTATGGCCATTGGATTGGATTTTCCTATTGTGTATCTTTTGGGGAAGAGGCTAGTTTGTTTCCTTTTGTGGGTGAAGGTGTGGGACTCCTCCAAAGTGTTACCCAGTGATTTGATCAAGGGAACCCTGGGGACCGGCAACATCTCAAGTTGCATGGCCCCAGGCTCAGGGTGACCTTTTTAACACAAAAAAACATGTTCTGGGTTGGCATACCTCAGTTAACAGAAGCTAAAAAGCAAGGTCAGTTCATTTAGAGACCTTCCCAAAAGTATGGACATTGATGGATTAGGCCTTGATTATAGTTTTAGCAGGTGGTGCTGTCCCTGTGCTGAGGGATTTTGGTTTGGTTTGGTGTGGTTTGAGACAGGGTTTTTCTGTAGCTTTGGAGCCTTTCCTGGATCTCACTCTGTAGAGCAGGCTGGCCTCAAACTCACAGAGATCTGCCTGCCTCTGCCTCTCGAGTGCTGGTATTAAAGGCATGCACCATCACCACCTGGCTCCTGTGCTGAGTTTTACAGCCTTAATGGTACCTCCATCATGGAGTTCGTCTTGCTGAGGTCTGAGGCCTGTTTTCCACCTACCTTTTGAGAGAAGTCAGGTTTCCTCTCTGCTCTTCCCTAGTGAGGTTAGGTTTCCTGTCTGACAGTTGCATTTGAAATCTTAATTTTTCGTTTGTATTGTTTTCTTTAGATTTTGAATTAATGAAGTGTCTTGAATTGGATGACTAAACATTTTATTTCCCATGTATTCAGGACAACCTTGAGGACAATTTGGATCCAAGAACAACCTTGAGTCCCTGATTATCTCGGTCCCAGAGCAGCAGTAGCCATGACATCTGAGCACTGTGGCCCCCAGAGCCCAGGGAGTGCCATCATGACCTTCCGCCCAACCATGAGAGAATTTTCTGATTTCAGCAAGTACATCGCCTACATGGAGTCCCAAGGGGCACACCGAGCTGGACTGGCCAAGGTCATCCCACCCAAGGAGTGGAGAGCCAGGCAGTCCTATGAGGACGTCAGTGACATCTTAATAACCAGTCCCCTGCAGCAAGTGGTGTCTGGCCAGGCAGGTGTGTTCACTCAATTCCATAAGAAGAAGAAAGCCATGACGGTGGGACAATACCGTCACCTGGCCAACAGTAAGACATACCAGACCCCGCCACACCTGAATTTTGAAGATTTGGAGAGAAAATACTGGAAAAGTCGATTCTTTGGGTCACCGATTTATGGTGCAGATGTCAACGGCTCCCTGTTTGATGAGAACACTCAGGATTGGAACGTGGCACACCTGGGGAGCATTTTGGACCTCTTGAAGCAGGAATGTGGCATTGTGATTGAGGGTGTCAACACGCCCTACCTGTACTTTGGCATGTGGAAGACCACCTTCGCGTGGCACACGGAGGACATGGACCTGTACAGCATCAACTACCTGCACTTTGGGCAGCCCAAGACGTGGTATGCGGTGCCCCCCGAGCATGGCCGACGCCTGGAGCACCTGGCCAGGCAGCTGTTCCCGGGCAGTTCCCAGGGCTGCCAGGCCTTCCTGAGGCACAAGGTGGCACTCATCTCACCCACTGTGCTCAAGGAGAATGGTATCCCCTTTGGCCGCATGACGCAGGAGGCTGGGGAGTTCATGGTCACCTTTCCCTATGGCTACCACGCTGGCTTCAACCATGCAGAGGCCATCAATTTTGCGACCCCGAGGTGGATCGACTATGGCAAGGTGGCTTCTCAGTGTAGCTGTGGGGAGGCCAGGGTGAGCTTCTCCATGGACGCCTTTGTTCGGATCCTGCAGCCTGAGCGACATGAGCTGTGGAAACACGAGGGACGTGGAACTGTGGACTACCCAGAGGTCCCCTCGCACCCCAGTCAGGAGACATTTACTCGGACTCAGAGGCATCCCTGCGCGGGACCCCTCAGGTGTGTGGTGAGCAGAGCCCTCAACAGCTGCCCTTACACTAAGGTGGGCTCCGAGTCCCAGCGCCGTTCAACATCCAAGCTTTGGGCTCCTCAATTCACTGTGCCGCAGAGAAGATTCTCCAAGCAAGCTTCGGGGGCCTCCCCGATCTTCATGGATACTGCTGATGCCAGAGCCCTGGACCTTTCACGACATTCGCAGGCCTATGGAATCTTGGATAGGAGCCCCCAAATCTCCCTGCCACTCAAGAAGATGGACTTGAACTCAACAGACACAGGTTCACCTCCTGCCCCTTAGACCTTTTGGCCACCAGGGGACATTCCTAGTCATCTGAATCAACGGCTGTCGGATATGCGGACAACTGAAACTGTACTTTGGGTCCTGGATTCAAGTCACCTTTTAATTTGCACATGGTCTCTCCCTCAGAATTGATGCAAAGGACGGATCTGCAGTGTGTCGTGCGACTGCGTGAAGAGAATGGATGCTCCATTTGACTGTGGTGTCAAGGACGGGGCTTTTGTAGTTTAGACAGGTTCCGGACAATGGGACTCCTGGATGGAGTCTTCTTCATGTGGTTGTGGAGGTAGGCCACACCTACCTGCTGTGATGGGAAGCAGCCAGCAGACATCCTCGCAGCTTCTAGGCTGGAAAACCACAAGTCCATGGAACACCTTAGAACATCCTGTCACACCAATTCTGGGTCAGAGGAAAACTATATGAAAGGAAATGGCACAGTTCTGAGGATGCCCCATCCTTCCTCCTGCTCTGACAATCGATCCTTCATGAGACCATCGACTTGAACCTCCCACTGGAAGGATGCCACAGGGAGAGAAGGCAGGTCTTGGGGCACTCAGCATGGTTCCGAACATGCATGCACCTGCGACCTACTCACATGGTACAGTCTTCAGAGCACCATGGCCGTCATCTGCATCGGCACATCTGGAAGGACCTGCACATGCCCATGAGTGCCCTGACTGACTTTCTGGTCCAGAAGCAGGGAGGCGGGAGAGACAGGTGTAGGCTGATCCCTCCTGTATTTCCTCAGCATTTCCTTGTTCTTCTGCCCTAATTGTCTCCTGGTCTCAGGTGGTGCTACAGAGGCTACAGTGTGGACCGATCACAGCCCTGGTGGGGACTCCACACACTGGCTATGAGTTATCTGTTGTCCATGCTGGGGGGAAATGGCTCTTTCCTGTCAGTGACCCCTCACCCTTGCTCTGTAAGCAGGCCCAATAAAGATAGTAATAATTCTCCCAACTGAAGTGTGGTGGATTCTTTGGTTTGTGTTTGGGGTGCAATAAAGGAGGGTAGAGGTTTATGTCTCCCCAGGACAGGAATTCTGCCTTAGACTGGATGCCATATACACTTCTTCCCTGTCCCCTCACCACACCCATGCCCCCTCAAAGCTAACTAAGAACACATAACAGCCTCACAACAGAGAGACTGACAGGTCTGTGGTCTTGCTGAACACAGCTTCGTTTTGTGGCTACACTTCCAAAACAGATCAGGGAATAGACAGGAAAATGAGCAATGTCCTCAAATCTTGGCTAACTATACAATGATAATTATTTAACCACAATCGACCACAAAACAAAAATGAATATGTCTTTTTGCCAGGTGGTTGTGGCTCACCCCTTTAGTCTAGTGAGTACTAGGCCAGCCTGGTCCCAAAGTGAGTTCCAGAACAGCCAGGAAGTGTTCATAGAACCACTAAGAACATTTTAGGGCTGGGAAGTGGTGGATTCTGCCTTTAATCCTAGAAGTCAGGAGGCAGAGGTGGGTGGATATCTGTGAATTCAAGGCCAGCATGGTCTACAGGGTGAGTTCCAGGACTTCCTGGGCTACACAGATAAACCTGATCTGGAAAAATCAAGGGGGAAAAATGTCATTTCATACCCATACAACATCCTGAAACTTTCATCAGCATTGAAGTACAAACATTTTAAATGTCCTAGAACTGGTATTGAGCACAGATTTGGCCTCGATGAAACACATGAAGGATAACATTAAGAATGACAGAGCCAGCAGGGTTTGGTGGCACACACCTTTAATCCCAACACTTGGAAGGCAGAGAGTGAGGCAGGAGGATCTCTGTGATTTCGAGGCCAGCCTGGTCTAAAAAATGAGTTTCCAAACACCTGTGTGGTTGGAAAAAAAAAAAAAAAAAAAAAAAAAAAAAAACACCTCAAGAATAAAGGAGACAAAGAGTTAAATCAGATCATTGATAGCAGTCTCTGCTCTCTTGTTCCTGGCTAACCTCTCAGCTATTGGCACCAACTGGGCCTCTGATCCTCATTTTTGGTAGATCAAGGTCGGAGCCCTGCATCCTAAACTATGTGGAGAATTATACAATAGTTTAGCACAATGAATGGTGCTTAGGACCAACTACACCTCTTCAGAGCACAGTGAGTCCATGACTCGACTCATTCACTAAATCCAGTGGGGAATATGACAGGCCCCCAGACCTTAGCACAACTGACTCCATGATGGAAGTACCAGTCAGGGTGTAGACAGCACCACCTATCCAAATGAAGACAAAGACCTAATCCACCACAGTCCATAGTTCTGGGACAGGCTCTAAATACACTAACCTTGCATTTTGGTTTCTGTAGTTATGCTGGGCTAACTGCTCTTGTTTTAAGGCTATTTTTTTATTTAGATTTTTAAGACGAGGTTTCTCTCTGTTATTTTGGTGCCTCTCCTGGATCTCGCTCTGTAGACCAGGCTGGCCTCGAACTCACAGAGTTCCTCCTGGGTCTGCCTCCCAAGCACTGGCAATAAAGGCGTGAGCCACCACTGCCCGGCATGACTCCTCTTTTACCTTAAACTCTTTTACACTTTCTGCTGACTTCATGATATCTAGATTCATTAAAATAATTTCCACTATTCCATTTACTGTTGTCTTGCTTCTGATTGTTTCAAAACAAAATGGGTAATGGTTGTTTTTTCAGTTGTGGGAGGAAATCCACCAGAAAAGACGGCTGGGATGTGGGATGAAGGCAACAGAAAGTCTTTATTGGCCAGCCGGCAACTGCACTGGGTGATCAGGATCCCAGTATAGTCAGGAGCCTTTCTCAGGGTCAGCTTTTAAGCTCAAAGACTGTGTTATGGCTGGACAAACTTCAGTTAACAAGAGCAGTTAGCCCAGCATAACTACAGAAACCAAAATGCAAGGTTAGTGTATTTAGAGCCTGTCCCAGAACTATGGACTGTGGTGGATTAGGTCTTTGTCTTCATTTGGATAGGTGGTGCTGTCTACACCCTGACTGGTACTTCCATCATGGAGTCAGTTGTGCTAAGGTCTGGGGGCCTGTCATATCCCCCACTGGATTTAGTGAATGAGTCGAGTCATGGACTCACTGTGCTCTGAAGAGGTGTAGTTGGTCCTAAGCACCATTCATTGTGCTAAACTATTGAATAATTCTCCATATAGTTTAGGAGGCAGGGCTCCGACCTTTATCCACTCAATATGAGGATTAGAGGCCCAGTTGGTGCTAATAGCTGAGTGGTTAGCCAGGAATAAGAGAGCCGAGACTGCTATCAATGACCTGATTTAACTCTTTGTCTCCTTTTCTCTTTGAGGTTTTTATTTCCCCAACAATTTACAGGTGTTTTCTAAGTATTGCTGATCAATTAGCAGAGAAACAATAGGTTTCTCCCACAGCCACACATAGTCCCCTTACCTCAGAGGCAGTGAGTCTAAGCCTCTCCAATGATGTCGGAGCACTTTGGCAAGGGAATCTAACTGTTGTTTTAATACAGACGCAGAAACTTCTAATACCTCTAGGTCCGGATCAACCTGTCTACTCAGTTTGGAAAGCATCAGCAGAGGGCACACTTAGTCAAACCTTGTGTCTGCCATGCAAGTGGTCTCAGAGGCCTGGTAATATTGCCATTGTCCAGATGAGTTAATGTACCAAGCAGATCAGCAGACACCTGCTCATAAGGGGAAATGCCTAGATTAAGGGTGTTGGATATTAGACAAGTTTCAGCCCCTTGAAGTTCTCTAACCTTAATTTGGGCTGTCCCCAGTGACAGTGAGATTTGTCAGTCAAAGTGGTGACCTTCGGGTTCATTCTCATCCCTAGGTAGTACGGGAGCCTGGGAGTCTGAGCATCCCCAGCCATCCTGGCCAGTGGTTTCTAGAGAACACATTATTTTGCTGCAATGCTACAATATCTTCAGGAAGGTTTATGCTCAAAGCCTGAAGAAAAGATAGAAAAATGTAGTCATTTTTGAATGATTCAACTCAATGGGAATACTGAGATGAAATTAAGCCATACAAATTTGGGCTGGCAATGTTAATATCAGAATTCAAAGCCAAATCAAAATACACGTCAATTTGAAACAGACATTTGAACCCCAGGTGTGAAAAGCATACTTTAGAATAATTGAATTTTAGCTGGGCGTGGTGGCACACACCTTTAATCCCAGCACTCCACAGGCAGAGGCAGGCTGATCTCTGTGAGGACTAGGCCAAACTGATCTACAGAGAGAGTTCCAGCACAGAGAAACCCTGTCTTGATCAGGAGTTTAAGGTCTCTCTTGGTTCCGTATTGAATTCACCTTCAGCACCGTTACATGAGAAATGTCTAGTCATTCAACTTGAGGAACTAGGTGAATTGATATCTACGTAAAATTAAAAACAAAAACCAAACATAAAGGAGTAAAATGAAAGAGTCACGACAGAACCCTCACAGAAACAGGGCAAGCAGGGAGAGGAAAACCCTTCCTTAGGAAAGATCTTAGAAGTGAAAGTCACAGTTAGGGCAAGAGCATGTACAGACATCAAAGTCCGGACAGCTACAATGTATAAACATCTCTATAGCTTCGGGCCAGACATAGGAACCACTAGTAATTCTCCAGAAGTACAGATATCCAAAACTGACCTAGTAGGGAAACCAAGTGGTCTACTCATATGAATTTCTTTGTCTTTTTTGTTTTGTTTTGTTTTTGTTTGTTTGGTTGGTTGGGTTTTTTTTGTTTTGTCTTTTTTTTTTTTTTTTTTAAAGACAGGGTGTTTCTGTGTAACACCCCTGACTGTCCTGGAATTCATTTTTCAGAGCAGGCTGGCCTGGAACTCACAGAGATCTGCCCACCTCTGCCTTCCGAGAGCTGGGATTAAAGGCGTGAGCCACCACTTCCCCCCCCTAAAATCTTCTTAGTGGTTCTATGGACAGTTGGCATATAGCATATTGCTGTGATGTATAACTTTCTTTGTTTAGTGTATTTCTGGTTTGCCTTTTCTCGAATTGGGGTGGTTTACTCTCAAATGAGGTTGGGCGGGGCTAACGGAGGGGTGTGGCCAGTGATAGGCGTGACTAAAGTGGGTGGGTCAGCACTGATGACAGTATTCACCTTTGTGGCTATAAAAGACCCAGAACTGAGGCTCCAGCACCACAGGGAGTGAAGTCTCACAGGAGAAAGCTTCTCTGGTGCTGCACTGTCTTCAGCCAGGTCTCCATGCTGTTGGAGTAAGGTAAGTTATCTGTAACTCTCTTCAACAACTCTGGGATGCTTGTCCTGCTGAGAAAATGACGAGGATCACAGGTCCATAAGCGTCAAGCACTCTCCTGGGCGTCAGGACTGGCTGGTCAACCTCCAGCTTTAGGGTGTCAGCTTTATCTGTGTTTCATTTGTGTTCAGTCCTGTCGGCATTTAAGTATGATTATTGTGGGGCAACGTTAATCCAGGCTATCCCCAGTCACAGTGAGTTTTGTCACTCGAGGGGTTGACTGTCCAGTTAGTTCTTATCCCTATGTAATATGGGTGGTCGAGGGGGTCTGAGCATGACCAGGCACCCTGGCCGATTTCTGGCTGGGAATGATTGATATTGTCCCCAGGGTCCTCCCCGGTGGTATAGAGTCTGATTCCCTAGGTGTTCCCTGTTTCCCAAAGGCCAGAATCTATCTTACAGAATTTCCAGATTTTTAGTTTTTAAATTTTATGGCCATTGGATTGGATTTTCCTATTGTGTATCTTTTGGGGAAGAGGCTAGTTTGTTTCCTTTTGTGGGTGAAGGTGTGGGACTCCTCCAAAGTGTTACCCAGTGATTTGATCAAGGGAACCCTGGGGACCGGCAACATCTCAAGTTGCATGGCCCCAGGCTCAGG